ACTAGCATAAAATGATCTTTTACACAAAGATCCACTAGTTCAATCCTGACTTATTTTGATAAAATGCTAAAATTTAAAGATTCAGTTTGATGCAGTGCTGTCTTCTGATGTGCTAATTTGAGGTAATTTGAAAAACTGCTCATTATGGCATATATGCTTTGAATTTCTCAGTGTGGCATTCCCATATGAATAAAATCAAATTTCAGCATACTCTTTGCTTTTATGGTATCCTTGATTTTTCTCATTTCCTGCAAATTACTTTTGGATATACTTTGAAAGACGTTACTTTGATTAGATCTCTGTATACTTATACTTTTGCAGGTTTAAGGAGTGCCATAGGGTTGGGCTTGGGGTTTTTTTATCCTTCAGAATCAGCTGGATAATTTTGCTGAAAAGAGATGCAAATATTTTTATAACAGTAAGATATCTAAGTACAAGTAAGAGCTACATGAGGTATATGTGTCTCACACAGGTATTTTTATACTCAGAGACACAAATAACCTCAAATGCAGCCACCATTTTTGTGAGAGCAAAACATGAGGCTGGATTAAATTTACAAAAGAGGGGTGTTGAATGGGCAATCCAAGTATTTATTTCCACAATGAAATAAAAATAACCTGAGAGGCTGGTGGAGAAAACCATGAATCTATTTCCTCTTGTTTGAAAAATACTTGATTAAATGAGTAAAGCATTGATACTATCTTAGGCCAGCTGAGCTTGTCTCACCCAAGTTAGACACAGTATTTCTGTTCCATTGGTGGACAAAAGAAAATAATGGGTTTATTTAATGTGTTTTTTCTTCTTTTTCTCGTATAGCTCTGTGGAACAGTGGTAGCACATACTGGAAATGTTGAGGGGTAAGTAATAAATCAATTCTACACCTATTACTACTTTACTATTTTAGGAAGGCTGCTCTGATTGCTGCAACAGGAGTATGCTGTAAGGTCTAAACCCAAGAAAAGTTATTCAGTCATATTGATGTTTGTACTAAAATATATCCCTTCATTGTGTTTAAATTAGATAGAAATTCAGTCTTTATAAATTTTTTCCTGAATTGTTTTTTGTTCTTATTTCCAGGCTATATAAATGAGGCTCAAGACTCTTCTATGGGAGTGCATCATTGTTCTTCCAAGGGTGTTGGCATTTCCATTCATCTGACAGATCCTGAGCCACTTGTTTTATGTCAGCTGTACTGTAAATCCCAAATGTACTATTGAATGTTATGCCATAAACTACTGTACAGAATATTTTGTGATCAGGGCACTGCCTCTCAAATACCACTGTTCAAGGCTTGGATTAAAATGTTTTTTTGGTTTTTTACTTTTTTACACTGGGCTTTCTACCTTACATCACAGTATATAAATTAATTAGATTAACAGCCTTTGCCTAGCAATTCTCTTAAAACTGTTCAAGTTCTTATCTTAAATTGTTGATTTGTGTTAAATACAGTACGTACACGTTTACATAAAAATACATTTTGTATACCAGAGACTTTTGTATATACATTTTTCTTAAAACTTCTAAGTGTTTAGTTAAGATTTTAATATTGTATAATACTCTTCACAAATGAATTTACCAGCATGATCAGTGTTGCTATTTGGTGCTCTTGAATGACTACATTGGACTAAATTTGGATTGTAATGGGGTCCACAGTGTCTCTTTGTGTGTCTGAGAAGCTCAGTTGCAGTTTTGTCAGTTTTGTTTTCTCCCTCTATTCTTTTCTTTTTTTTTTTTTCTTTTCCTAATTATTTAATATTTAGTGGGTTTTGCTGTATAGACTTGAAAGGGACTTTTTGGAGAAGTTTGTTTTTAAACTTTGGGTGGGAGGGTTTGGGGGTGTGTGGGATGCATAATATAGTGAAAAAGCTAAGCTTTCTAGAGTTCAGTAGTACTCAAAAAGAGCATGAGGGATGTCCTATGTTGGCAGTTTTTGGAATGCTTTACCTTCTCTAACTTCCTTTTCTTCTTTCACACCCACTTCTGTAATGTCCTTAATAGTATCACTGTGACTCTTTTGTAGGCAGTGGTAGTATTTTTGCTAAATAATACTATACTGTGATTTACAATATTGAAATTCAAGTCTGTTTAGCAATTGGAGTTAACATTTGTACTGTTAGAGTTATTTCACCAAATTTAGGCAAATGGTTGAATTGCTGAATTAGTTAACAGTAGACTTTATCAACAAGGCCAAAACTGTTACCAGTGTAAAACCTTCTGGCAGGTGAAGTAGTTAATATATTGATCTAAAATAGTATCTCTTCATCTATCAGTATTGTTAACTTTGTTTCAGACAGGGTTCATTTTCTTGAAGTAGAGATAATCCTGTACATCATTATTATAATTTTAAAGAAATGCTGAAAAATGATACCAGTCTCTAATCTGGAATAACCTTAAATTTTTCATTTTTATGTCATAAATGGAAACATTTCTAATTGACAGTATGTAGCATATGTGTATATGTAATGTTCAGAATTGCAGATTTTTAAAAGTTTCTATTTTTAATTTGAGAAAATATTCCCAGTTCATTTAAATAAAACAGATCTTGCTTAACTATCTTATGCTTGGTTCTCCCTTGTTTTGTTGCAGAGCCATCTCTCAGAAGGGCTGCACAGAGTTAAAAATCTTATGAGAGTGAATTTCTTTACCCTGATTAAAAATCATTGCTACATTTGACTTTTACAGCAGGAAGGACTGGAAGAACTTTGACTCTGGGTGAGGGAGCTTCCAACTTCCACCAAGAATGTGAATTATGCAAAGGTGGTAGGATTCAGGCTATGAGCTGTGCAGGACACCTGTTTCTGTGTGGCACTGGCAGCAGAATTAAACATTTGCTAGTTCTTCAGCTCTCACAGTTCACTGCTGGCATCCTAACTTACCTTGTTAAAGGACAGTTGTTTCCTACTGATGTGAGAGATCACAAACTCTTCAATCTGAAGCACAAGCAGGCAGGACTGAATTGTCAGATTAGAATGAGCCAAACACTTGGGGGGAACATAGCAGCTTTAACACATAAATATATTTGAGTCCAAGCTTTGATATTTCTCCTTATCCTTGTGGTTTATTTGTTCTCATGATTAGACTTGAAAAACTTTGAGAACAAGAGATCTGAAACTGGTATAAATTAACTTTTGAATTGCTTTGGACTCTTCAGCGAATCTAAAAATTCTTGGTCCTGTTGTGCATAACAAAGTGTAAACAATACATTTTTTGTCAAATATTAGGAGGCATTCAAGTGCATGCAGCAGGGATTTGAGGTGGGTAACAAAATTCCTCTGGCTGGCTGGCAGTAGGGTGAGAAGAATCCCCAGAAAACAATGGAAGAGTGAATGGTAAATGCCATTGTTGTCCTAAGACTTGGCTGGAGCCACATGACTGTGCCTGGAAGGAGAGAGGAGAACTAATGGAAAGAAGCTAGAGATGAGGTTTCTGCTAAAAAATGTTATTAAAATAGCTGTGGAGAGGGAATGAAAAGAAATCAAGGTTATTCTCTCTGTCAAATGGTGTTTAGTCATGGGAAGCTGATGGCACACTGACTGGAAGAGCAAGGTTAGGATACCCAGAGTGACTGTTCAGGTGGCTGCTGCTTCGAGCAGGCAGCTTTCAGGCTATCTGGGCTGCCACAGCAGCAAAGGACTCTTGTCCCTCTTCTATTAATAAAGCTTTTGTTGTTGATGATGATGTTCTGCTTTGCCATCTGTGTTAAAAGGAATGGTTTTGCCCCAGTATTTTGTTTGGCACTACCTAGTGAGTGACTAAATTCACAAACTGCTGTTCTGTTCCTTTACGTATGGGCAGTCTCAAACCCAGGGTTTCCAGCACCTCACAGTTACTGCAGCATTCCTGGGCAATCCAAGAGCCCTTTCCAGGAGCTGTCAGGTCAGGCTGGCTGGAGCAGAGATGTCTTTGGAAGAAGTGCCTAGTGGGAGTCTCACTACCCAGAAAAGTACTGTGGATTGCCACAGCAGGAGAGGGATTTTTCCTCATGGTCTTCTGAATGCTGAGGGAGTTACAGTGATTTTTTTTTCCTTAGCTCTGTTTTTAGTTAGTGCAGCAGAAACTGCTAGGACAGGATTCTGCACTACAGTATTTCTGTCCTCCTGCCTTTGTTTTACAGCATTTTTACAGCTCACTTGTTACAAACAGGAAAATATCTGTTTAAAAAAAGAAAGTGATGAAGTGCAAATACCTGTCTGACATGCTCTGTAGTCTGTTCCCTGCTGCTGAGAACTGTGATAAGTTATTCTGCTGTCTTGCTATGTTGGCTAGAAGTGATTGGTGGTGTGAAAATGATCATAAAACTTCCAGATGTTTGGTATTTTTTTAGACTGGTAATACCTTATTTTGCTTAAGCTTTATTTCTTTTCTCTGTGTACATACGTGGCTCAAAGAATGTGCAGCTGATCCTTCCATGCATCCCCAGTGCTTGTCATGTGTGAACAAAAGGAAGAGATAAAGTTGCATCCTTACTGTGACAATCCACAGAAAGCCCATCCCACAAATCAGCTTTTTTACCAGGACACTTACACTACCAGGACATTTATAATCATCCAGATGCAGAGATTGCTTTGGTACTTCTATCTTTTTTTACTTTGATATCATCTTACAAGCTCTAGCATGAAGATAGCTATAAAGCAGCTGGAGAATGGAAAATATCTGTTAAAAATCAAATATGACATGTTCATCCTGCATAGGAATGTGCTTCTCAGTTATACAACTGTTGTTCTGTGCTTTAGCTGCATTTACAAGACTTGTCTTGTTACCTTCTTGGGACTTCACACTCCCAAGGTTATTTCACACTCCTTCAGGCTATAAATTATGGGCATTTGCCTACTGAAGTGGGATTTATTATTTTCATAAAAAAGCCCAACCCTTACATCCCGTGTTTAGCTGGAAAGAGGCTTCTTTGTGCACCAAGACTTTAAATTGTGAGCAGCCATTTACTCACTGCTTTTACTTCTCTGGGTCGTGTTGTTCAAGGATCTTGGTTCCCTCCTCTCACCATGAAGAGTTTTGCTCTCGTTTTCCTAGTTGTGATCTGTGGCATGGGAGGAGTGGGACAAAAGCTGAAGCCAAAGAAAAGAAGCAATGGTGAAGAAATCAAATTTCGGACTAAAACCAAAGATGTTTGCACAATAACCACGAGTGGCGATGATGAAGAGATGAAACTTAGAATTGAATGCAAAAGCCAAGGCTTTTCCTACTGGTGTGAATTCAGTGGCAAGCCATCAGTCTGTCGTGCTTTCAGAAATAACCCAAAGATTTACTGGAATCAGATCGCCGCAGAACTCAGAAAGGTCCCGCACGCTTGCGAACCCATGGAAGTGTTGAAGACCACCATGTGCCAAAAGGCTCCCCCAGAGGCTCTCATGAGGCAAATAGCTGCTGGTATGGAGCCAGAAGAGATAGCAAACCAGGGAAAATCAGTCCATTCCATTCCTATGAAAGAAGCAGGGCAAAACTCTGACTCAGCCCAACGTGGTCAAGGGTCTGAAAATGAAACAGAAGCAATGAAGCTGGCACGGGAACACTGCTGGGAATCTCTGCATGGTGTCTGCTCCTACATCATTGGCATCCTTAGGGGCTAAGGGTTTGCTTCAGGTAAAACTCATCTGGAAGCACAGCAGAATATCCCTGAGAGTAATTCTGTTCTATAATTTCATTTTTCTTTTTGGGGGTCTCCAGGATGTGGACAGGGAGGTGCTAAGCTCACTTGCTAAAATCTAGCATTACAAGGCTTTTGGGGGCTGGACAGCTTAAATTTCCAGTGATCCATATTGGTTCAGGACTCCTGTAAAACCTCCTGTGAGGTCTTCAGTACGTACTGACGTGTTTGCCCTATCTGTTATTAATCTATGGTATTTCAGTTCTAACTGTTTGAACTGGGCTGATTTTTGCCTTCTGTCACTCCTTTCCTCTTGTGCTGCCTTCTGGATTTACACCAGGGAAGTACAATAACTAACAAATGCATCATATCCAGCCAAATGCATCAGTTAGAACAAACTGCATTCAGAGGCTGAGGGAATAAAGCTTATTCATCAAAACTGCTGGTTAATAATGAACTATTTTAATCTAAAATATTAGTTCATAAATCCCTTGCAGAAAACCCAAGTGGACTGTCTTGGTTTGTGAGTCTGTTACTGTACAGCAATAGGGGATCACATGCAGGCTCTTGTTTGGTAAGTCTCAGGTTTTCAGCCAGCATTTAAAAAGGCAAAGCCCCTTTATTGCAGAAGTGATTGGTTTTATATCCACTTCTGTTCCAGCTCAGAGAGAAAGCCAGGAGCTGATAAGTGGACTTGGCAAACTTTTAAGAAATGGGAATATGTGCAGTGTGAGCTGGCAAGTGTTTAGGCTGCTAATGATAATTTATGCCTAATACAGCAAAGTGACTAATTTTCTTCTTTTTTTTTTTTTTTTGTTTTGCAGAGCAGTGGTATTACAGCTGAAGGAGGGTCCTTGCTGCATTGTAATAATTTAGACATAAGAATTTTGGTTAAAAATCAGTGATTTATAGAAATCTTTTAGCTGTTTTCCTTTTTAAAGAAAAAATGAAACTTTTTAACAGCTCTGAAAACTTCACAAAACTTGAGTGACTGTGCTTAAAGTGTAAGGATGAACTAACTGCCCTTAGGTTTGTTACACACCTAGGTGTGCTGCATTTATGTAACCCAGGATCTGCTTGACCTTGCATAGGTTTTTGTGTGTACTGACTTGCTTCAGTTTGTTAGAGATGAAAGCTGTTAATGATGATACAGTTAGTGCAAACAATAAAAATAAGATTTTTTGAAAAGTTACTTGGTGTGCTTTCTTGAAATTTTAACAGGTGCTTTTTGTATAAAGTCACAGTATTTGACACTTGTTTTTTAAGAGATTGTTGGTAGAATGTGTAAGAGAAATGAGGGGTCTGAGTCACTGCTTTCCCAGTGTGAACAAGTTTGCATGAATATTAATACTTTCAATGTTATGAGGTTTATATTACAATAATGAGTTTCAGCCAGCAGGAAAAAGGACCTGTAGAAATAAGAGAGTAATGTAAGAATCATTCATGTTTTCATGTTTTTGAACATAGCACATGAAAAGTGTTCACCAGTGATGCATCTGCAGAGTTCAGTGTTACCAGGATATGTTAGTGGTACTATTAATGTTTGGTTTCAGTAGATATTCTGAAAAGTAACTTACCTGGCAGCTTGGGCACTTGCCTAAATCTCCTCAAAAAACAAAATGAAATCTAATGGCCTTTTGTCATATTACAATGCAGTCATGTTCAGATTATTATTTAACAATGATTCCTTTTTTTCCCAAGTGAGTTTGACAGCAGGGATGTGCCTGGAAATTCTTCATACTGTAGAATTTAACAGTGCTGTGTGTTTGCCTTGCAATGTTTCTGCAAGGTATTGTTGACTGAAATACTTCTGCAGCTTTACTCAGATTTGTAATTTTCACTACACAATTCCAGATCATGATTGTCCAATGGTTAATCTTTATGCCTTGTACCAAAAACTTGAAATCAATTTCTTTCACCTAACCTCTTGATAAATATGGAAAAGAATAGCAAGTCATGAACACAGGATCAGAGCAGGAGGTTGTATGTACAAGGCAGAAATATAATTTGAATGCAGATAAAATGTGTAAGCTGTGTTTTTCTCTGCCATGAATGCAATGTGGTTAATTTTCTTTTGTGATCTCAGTTACCATTGCCAGGCTCTTGTGTTGTGAGTAAAAAATGTAGTAGTACACCTACTCACCTAATTCTGTCATAGAAATTAAGTAATTGTCTGATTTGCAAACATGCACAAAGCATCCAAGTGATACTAGGGAACTGTTTGCAATGTTAAGGGGAGGCTGAGGGTTTTCTTGAGGTGTGCTTTTAAATATTTTTAAACTCCTATTATATATGATGTAAAATCCACTCTGCAGAGTGAGTATTTTGCAGTAGTATCCACAGCAGGAATGACTTCAAAAATGACAGTGACTTGCATTGGGAGAAATCCGGGACAGCTGGTCACCCACCATACTATTCGTGGGAGAAAAGAAGAGGTTTCACCTGTTCACCAAAAGAACATTTTCCCCTTCATGCCATCTTCTCTTTGTGTACACAGTGAGCTCAGGAGGCAGCAGAGTTGTCTGTCACTTTGAAGAACTGTTGATATAATCTAAAATTTGTGGCCATCACTAATTGTGCTCAGCAGAGGACAATGTCACATCCCAGCACGCTGCTTCCCAGGGAGCTTGTGTGTCATCTCAGTAGAGCAGGGCTCTGCTGCAAAGGGCTCCTGTACTCTGCTGCCTGGAATGACCACCTGAAATTTCACTGTTGAAAGCAGAAATTCAAGTCTTGCACCAAAGGCTTCCCTTTAACAAAATGCTTTTTGTAACATACTCAGGACCATGGTTAAGCACCACCTTTTAGAAAGAGGTGAAGGTGATGCATGCCATGGATTGCATTTCATTGACAATGCTATGCAAGCCTCAGCAAATCACTTAAATATAATGATCTTGTTTCAAAATGTTTAAAAATTGGATGTTAACTGAAATACCCCACTTCAGTGTAACAGCACTGTGACTGTATTGTCTACATTGCCATGTAATTGTGTTTAGCACCAGAAATGTACAGTCATGACATTTCAGTTTCCTTCTGAGTATGAAAGTTCTATTCATTGATGAAAGGATGAATTGAGAAGTGTTTGTGGTGAGTTTAGTGCAATCTTTGGGTGCCTCATGAAACAATGAATGCAACTTACTGTTTCATTCCTTTTAGGTGAACTAGTTAGTCCTGTATATGTAAGTACCTCAGGAAATCCATCCAAGTGGAGGTGGAATTGTCTTTATTTTCCTGACAGAGGAGCAGCAGGCAAAAAAGTTTGTCTGGATTCCTGCAGGTGGGGAGACTATTGGTACCCAGGCCTGCTATTTCTGCTGTTAATTCAGTGCAATATAAGCTATCCACCCGCCTCAGAGTCCTCATGTTCAGGTTTCCAGGGAAGCATCCCAAGTACTTGCTACTTTGATAATGGAAGCCTCCAAATAAAAAAGCAAAATCAAGCATTTGGAGAACCTGTGTATGCAAGGGTGTGTGTTTGACACACTAAGTTAAGATCCAAAAAAGACTGGAGTGAGTCTAATGGAGAGCTGTCAGGATGGTCAGGACTGGAGCACCCTCCTGTGAGAAAAGGCCAAGGGAATGGGTTTGTTCAGCCTGAAGACTTGGGGAGGAACTTAATAGCCAACCCTCCATCCATGTGAGAAAGGTACAGAGAATACAGAGCCAGCCAGAGAATACAGCCAGTGTGTGATAGGAGAAGAGATGCTGGTCAAAAATTCATAGAGGTGAGGTTCTGATTAATTGAAAGGGACAACATAAGGAGGATAAATGCAGGATTCCCCAGAGCTGCTCTGGAATCTCCATCTGTGGAGCTTTTCAAGACCAACTGGACAAAGTTTAATGAGTTGAGTCAGCTGTGCAGTAGTGCACTCTGGTGTTTTCTGAGAGAATTGTTTAGGTGTGTTCTCTGGTCATTCTTGCATTGTTTGCAGCATTAGGTTTTGCATTCTTGATTTTTCAGTAGATGTCATAGTTGATAAGACATAGATTTAAGGCAGATACCTCTCACAAAAAGACAAGGGAAAAACTAAATTTTCCCCAAAGTTTCCCACTGCTGTTCCTGCTTCTGTAGAAACTTTGTTTGTCTCTTCTGTTTCTCTTGCTGTTGCTTTTCCCAGTCTCCACTTTCTTCTTGGAAGCCAGGCACACCACAGATTTTTTTTTTAATTCTCTGCTTTTCTTCTTGCAAATGAGAATTGTTCTAATCAGACTTCACAGATCATTTTACAGCGGCAAAAAGTTATGTGGAGCATACATAGAAGTGGTATATACAAGAACAGGAGTAAGAACTCAGAGTGGAGGAGGTGCAGTCAGTAGATGACAGGACATTGATATTATCTCACAGACATGTTGTTTACTTTCCCATCTTGAATACAAATTAAACTGCTTGAACGACAGGCAGGAGGCCAGGTCTGGATTCCCAGAGCAGATATGCTGCTGTATGTACAGAGCAAGAATAAATTAGGCAGATGTGTGATGTGGAGAGGAAGTTGGTGCTCCCCTCCCTGCCCTCCTCAGCGGGTTATGGAACTGTTTGTGTAACCCCTGCTCACCACAGCCCCCTCCCATGGGGGCTCCTGCTGCCCCAGGGCTCACAATGGCCGTAGTTAGGCAGGGAAACAGAGGTGTCCTTTGAGATTCTGCTGGCTGCAGATGTAAAAAACCCTGCATTGCTCTGTCACTGCTGCTGTGGCCTCTAAAAATTAATGTGCTGGTGCTGACATTGGTCGCCCCTTTATTTGTCTTACTGGTGTAACATGAGGGCACTCCAGCAAATGCAGCTGTAATGAAGTGAGGAATGTGCCTAGGGACTAGGCTAGGAGCTCCACAAGGAAGGAAATGGTGAACAAAATTCAAGCTCTGACCTCTCCATTTCCTCTGCCAAACAGCCCAGCAGGAGCACAGGAGTGCTGCCCCCATCCTCCCCTCTCACCCCACTCCAATGTGGGTGCTCTCAGAGAGACACTGAGAAGACCCCCTGTT